CAATAAAACATCAACAGAATTACTATATGCCTCATGGGATTTGTAATGTTTCCAGTAAGAGGATAACTATGTCTCCAAATTAGATCGAGGACATATACAAACTATAGATTTGTGAATGGATTTTGAGTTTATACTCATTCATAGCCCTTATCTAAGAACAATTAGTTCTTATGAAATGATCTTGCTCAATACTTGCCCTCATGAAAAGATCACTGAAGATATGGGTCCTAGAACAGCGTGGAGAAGAAATCAGATGGTGTCTGACTACCCAAAATAATTGCATCTGGGGTCTAAAAAGGCTTGTCTTGAAACAGGTAGCCATTGAACTGAGGTAACAGCTACATCCACATGGAAGAAGCAACCCACCCTATGTTACCCAAGGATTGTAAATAAATCCAAGAAGGGAATTGTATTAGAGCTTAAATCCTCATCACCTGGTTTGCAGATGTCTATGGCTATCAGTAAAAGTCCAAAATCAATTTTCATCTTCCCCACATGGATTAAGCCTCTGGAGAATCTCCTCTGATCATTGACTAAGGATTTGAAAAGCCTTGCTATTAGACAGTGCATTGGAAACTGGGTTAAAATATACCTTATCACATGTGTTCTCCCTTTTGACCCACTTTTAAAATGTTCTAGTGTTTTACTTTCTGCTTTCTATAAAATTGAGGTTTTTCTGTTTCGTTGTTGTATATTTTTCTTTATTTGAAATCCAGAATAAATAGAACTGGACTAATCGTTTCTTTAGGGTTATGGCAGGAGAGGCTTGGGAGAAATTGTTAGCTAATAATAAAAAGTACGAGAAAGAAGAAATTATTCTAAAATTGATTGTGATTATAACTTTAATATATTCAAATCATTGATTTGATGTGATATATATGTTAATGAAATGGTTTAAAATTTTATTTAAAGATTATTTTTAAAATGTTTATCACTGCACGTTAGGATAATCAATCATTTAAGATAAAAAGGGAGCATTTACTCAAAGATATAATTCAGAGGATTGGTAAAGGAGGAAGGAGCCCTGGTAGTATAGTCATGCGCTGGGCTGTGATTCACACAGTCGGCTGTTTGAAACCACAAGCAACTCCATGGGAAAAGGATGGGAACTTTCTACTCCCGTAAATAGTTACAGGCTCCAAAATCCACAGAGGGTCACCATGCATCAGCATGGACTCCATGGCAAGGCAGTGTGTTTGGTTTGGGGTTGGCAAAGGAATAGGAATAAGAGATACAGGGAGGAAGTAGAATAAGTGATGGTACATTTTAGAGACCACAATGAATGAGTTGATTCAGAGCGTGTAAAATACAAAACTATGATATGGTCTGTAAACCTTCACCCAATTCATAATAACAGGTTAAAAAAAATCCTCACAGCTGGACCAGTGAAAATGATCATTATAGGTGGAAAATTATTTGAAATTGTTAAATATTTCATTTTATTTCGATCTACAATCAAAGTTGTGGCAAGAGTAGTGAGAAAATCAAATGAACCTTGCATTTGGGAAACCCACTGTACAGAGCTCTTTATTGTTTCTAAAATATATATACACAAAGTGTGACTTTGAATGCTAAGGTGTATGAGACACAACTTGTAGCATTCTCAATAACATTATATGAATGTGAAACCTTAACAATGAATAAGTAGGATAAAAAAGAATTGCTGAATTTGGTACATCAACATACCATGAAAACCCAGAAGAATAAACAAATCTGTCTTAGAAAAACTACAGCCAGATGCTCCATAAAAAGAGTGTGGTGAGATTTCATCACATACTTTGGGCATGTTATCAAGAGAGGTCATTCTCTGGAGAAGAGCATTATGTTTAGAAAGGATCAACAAAAACCAGGAAGCCTCAATCAAGATAGATTGATACAACGGTTTCAACAATGGGCTGAAATAGAGCAATTTTTATGAGCTTGGTGCAGGACTTACAAGTATCTTGTGTTATATACATAGGTTCATTTTTAATAGGTACCTACTTAATGGCACCTAAGGAACTTTGGTGACACAGTGGTTACTCATTCAGCTGCTCATCAAAGAGAAAAATGTGCCTTTCTACTCTTGTTAAGGCATCCAGACTTGGAAACTCACAGAGCTATTTCTATCGTCTTATAGGGTCACTATGAGTTGGCATCAGCTCGATGGTAGTGAAGTGCTCTTGTTTTCTTAAAGGCAGTGAGATGAAATAAGAAGATATTTTGATTCTTGATTTAGGATTGTGTTTTTTACCTAGATTACATCTTAAATTTTATATTAGTAGGATTTAAATTAATGCAGATGAGATTAAGATATGAGGGGGTACCCCCTACCCCCCACCCCAAGTGGAATTTTTTGTCAAATTTTTTTCAAAAATGTATTCAAATTTTTTTACAAAACAACCTTATCATCTTCAAAGTACTCTTGATACATTTGTCAAATCTGTGATTCCATTTTTGGAAATATTTTTCAAACTCCTCTGTTTGGATGGTGGACAGCACCTCCCTCGTTTTTTGCTTCACCTCTTCTACATCATCAAATCGCTGTCTATTCATGTCCCTTTTCATTCATGTAAACAAAAAGAAATAACACGGTGAGAGGTCATGTGAGTAAGATTTATGGGGCAAGGGAGGCATGCCATTTTTTTGCCCCAAACTGGTGCACTGAGATGTCTGTGTGAGCTGGTGCATTATCTTGGTAGCAAAATTAGTCCCTTGTCTGCAACAAATCGGGCCTTTTTTGTTGCACACTGTTATGCAATCTTTTCAGAATGTCTACACCTGGTGGAATGAATTCCAAATGCACTATCTCCCTCACATCAAAAACAAAACAAAACAAAATGAGCACAGTCTTGATGTTTGATTTCACATCATGAGGTTTTGGGGGGCAAGGATACATTGCGTCATTTTATCTCTTGATGACTGCTTCCATGAGCATTGATTGTGAATCCAAGCAAGACAAAATCCTTGACAACTTCAAGGTGATTATGGTGTTTTCCACTTGCTTAATTGATATTCACTTTTGGAGTCATAAGAATAGCACCATAGTCTGTCATTAGTCTTCAAGAACAAGTGCATGCATTTTGTTGACATTTTCATGTGTTCGGGAAGTTGATGGATGTCCAGAACAAGGTTTGTCACCAATCGACATTTCACCTTTTTTGAAATGAAAAAAATCACTCATATACTTGAGTTTTTCCCATAGCACTGCCATTGTAAACTGTGTTCAACATCATTTCTGCAACATTTTTCCTAAGCAGGAAACGAAATTTCACAGCTGTACACTGTTCTCCTAACTCGGCCATCAAAAAAAAATGAGGTTCAAGTGAAACTGCTTTTATGAAAGAATTCACTGTGACCAATGAGAACCATCCCAGGTGATCAGGAAATGCCACTGGGTTCACTAACTCAGGGGGTCTTTTTTTCCATTTGTGGGGGGTTAACCCTTCTTATATTAACCAATAATTTTTTTAAATCACCAATAGTCTCTTAACAGCAAACAAAAGCCAAGCCCACTTTCCTCAGACCAATTCTGACTCATAGTGGCCTATATATGTTTCTGACACTCTCAAGCTTTACGGGAGCACACAGTATCGTTGTTTTCTCTTGGAGCATATAGCAGGTTTACTTGAACTGCTGACCATGTGATTGACAGCCCAATATTTATCCCAAAGGGTTATCAAGGGCTAGTTATATATAATTATGATTATCAAAATCTGTTTAAGATCTACTATTTTTTTAAGGTCAACATTATGTTGATGCTACCTAATTTCCATGTTAATTCTAAATGTTGTTTCAATCCAACAATTATTTTTATGAACTACTTAAAGCTATCATGTATTAAAAAAGCAGACATTGTTTTGGAAAAAATTTTGACTTATAGGTCTAGATTAATTAAAAGCATATTCTATAAATATGGCAGCATTTTTATAAACATAACTGCAAAACTGACAAAAGTATATACTATTAATGTGCCGATGAAGGACTATGTGTTGTTTAATTTGGACAGGAATTGGAATTGGAAAAGTAATAATATCTGACATTTCACAGAAACACTTTAAAGAATATCGAATGGACATTGAATTTAGGCTTGAGTGGACAGACAACCAAAAGTTGTTTACTGCCAAAAAAATTTAGAAGGGTACTTATGAAAAAGAATGTTTCATTATCTAAGATGGAAGAGTCTACATATTTCAGTTATGTAATCCAATTATTTACTTTAAGTTAAAATTTTAAAAACATATCTTTAATTTCCTTCACCATAATTTTCTGTATGGGGATTCTTTGTAGATCAAAGAAACCAAATTGTTTTATTTTCTATGTTTACTTACAATCACAGTCTTCATTTCTCTTACAATTATAAATTTATTCTGTGACTCTAACAATTATGGTTGCCTTAATAATCTTAATATGTCTCATTGACATGCTCACAATCCCTTCCTACTACTTTTAAACAAACTCTTCTACAAGTACGATCCAAAAATAATTAGGTTTGCCAAGATATTGCAATGTCCCATAGATACTAGTTTCATGAAGTGAATGAGTAAGTTGAATGATTATCTTTTGGATTTTATATTTATTTTTCATATTGTAAACTACTTTTATGAATGTTAGTTTTGTTTACAAAATGTGAGTCTGTTGGATTCCATTGCTTAACCTGAAAAGGGAGAAAATAATTGATATATAGTTTAATTTGTGGAAATTAGCCTTTTAGAGTACAAAATGAAAAATAATTAGCAGACATGTTAAAAGCAGAAGTGAAAAGAGTAATTTAAATTTCTAAGAAATATAGTCTACTTGTTTATTGAATAGACAAAGTGTTAAAAATATATCCCTGTAGGAGATATTATTGTTCACTAAGTCACCAAAGTAAAGGCCATTACTTTTAATTAGCTCAAAACATTAAAAACATTTTACCCTGTAACTTAGTTGGTGATTACAACTACATTACAGCCAACTCTATTACTAAGCCATACATCTAATCTTCAATTTGCCTATATGCATTCACGCAAAATACTTACACTACTCTTGACATCTTTAAGCTTTGGAAGAATGTCTAATCCAAAGCCATCTGCTTGTCCTCTGGTTTTATTTCCACCATTCATGTAATTGCCAAAGGCCAGAACCAAACCCAGAATCTTCATCACCCCTGGACCATTTTTTAATGTCTGTAAGAGAGGATAAAGAGTAATCTTTGTAACAAGTGCTCATATTATGCTAATATGTATAGGTCACACCAAACTTTGTCACTGCTAACAACACTGTTAACTTTAAAAAGTATTCACACATTAACAAGCACTCAGGCGTCCTTTTGTAACCTGAGCAATATCAGTCTAGTTCCTCCCTATGATGTGATTATAAAAACAAAAGAATAATAAAAGGATAAATTGAGAGTTATGAAAGAAAATAATTGCTCTTATCTTAATTTTAGAATACACACTTTTGGCAGTTATAGAAAACCAAACCAAAAGAACAAACTCAGTATCATTGAGTCAATACTGACTCATAGTGACTCCACGGACAGCTAGTAGAAACTATAATCCTTTATGGGAGCAGACAGACTCATATTTCTTCCAAGGAATCCTTAGTGGATTCAAACTGATGACCTCGTGGTTAGCAATCCACTACATCAAGGCTCCTAGAAAAGCAAAAGGTACTCCTAAAGTTTAATTTCCAAAATTAAATTTACCCAGAAAAAGTGCACTCACTTCTAAAAAACTAAGTTGAACTTGAACTTGTATTTCACTTCCTGTGAAAAGTTGAGTCTTTAATAACAGCAGTTCACTTTTCAAATTGATTTACCATACCAGAGGAAATGATAATGATGATTTTTGACAACTTATTTAAATTTTAATATTGCAGGCTTGTACTATTCATCTTTAGCCCTTCCTAAATTATTTGATTGGGATAAGTATCAAAAATGTACTGAATGGACTTTCAAAAAAATGTACTGAATGGCTTTTCAAAAAAGAAGTTAATAAAATATGTTCCAATTGCTTTCCTCTGGAAATGCAGTTTGGCCATGGCAGTAGGGGAAGACTTTGCAGAGGCTGAGATACACATGCCTCACCTTAGTGATGCTTTCTGAAACATGCCCACACAAATCCAAATATTCGTTTTAATCTTGGAGCACACCCAACGCATGCTCCATTTCACAGGACTGCTAACCTTCTAATTCAATAAGTCTTTAGAGTAAGTAAGAGAAAACATTCTGAAATATGAATATGGCTTAAAGAATTAAATATGAGAAATGAAGCTTCTACTTATATAGACCAGGACCCACCTCACACAATTTCTGTAGTAATTCTAGTTTGCGATGGATGGAACAAATGCTTTCTGAAAATGTTGATTGGAAGAGGATGCAAAACACGCGCTCTGAGAAGTTGGGGATAAGTGACAGTTCATAAAGGAACCTAAGGAAACAAAGCCAAGTTTAGAGGAAACATATAATTCATATAAATAGATGTCTATAATCATATGACCGCTCTGCACTTCTTTTGCACCTCCCTCCCCACTCCCTCCAAAAATGGTCAAATGACTCTGCCATCAAGTGAATTCTGACTCCCAGTGACTTTCCAGGACAGAGTTGCACTGGCCCTTTTGCTTTCTGAAGCTGTCTATCTTTACAGGAGCAGAAAGCCTCATCTTTCTCCTGAAAAGCAGTTGGCATGTTTAAAATGCTAACTTGGCAATTAGCAGTCTACTACACTGCCTTGGTTCTCTTATCATGACTCTGTAATTTCCAAACACAAAATCCCACTGGACCCAAGGTGACCTATAAGGGTACTTACTGTTCAGGTTTATCCAGAGACTTGGTATTTTCCTTGTCTTTGGATGATCGGCCATGCTTCTCAATCTTTTCCAGCTCATCTGACTGTGCTCTCTGGATAAACAAAAGCCAAATAACTTTTTTCTAATCTGACCAATAGAATCCCTTAGATAATAATAATTTTAATTCAGTAAAACTATATATCTTAATATTTCTTAGCATCTGCTTGTGATGAAATTTGACTTAATTCAGAAGGAATTTTGAAGTATAAATATTCTTAAAGCAATAAATCATCTCCAAATCTTCAAAGGAATATTATTGTATTTGTGATCTGTAGAATAGTTACTCATTCAAGAATGCTTTATAGCAGTGCATTTTCCTTTCCAGTTACTTTAGCTGTTTATAATACTCTATATAATGCAACAATTTCTATTTAAAATGGCACTTCTCTTTTAGCCATCAATGTTTAAATTTGGAAGCAATTTGATACTACAACTTTTATAACATCTGTAAAGAAAACAAGTACTTATCTAGAGTCATCATTGTTACTTGTGTCTTAAGAAAAAGTACAATTTAATTATTAAGTATGGGTGGGAAGTAAAAGGTTTTAGTCATTCAATTGGATTTTCTTTTCAATTAAAAAATGATTACATAGTAATTTTTTTCCAAAGTGTCTTCCTTTACCCTTTGTAATGTCACAGAAAACGTTCATTATTCTAAACTTGTCTCATATGGGCTAGATATCTTCTGCATTTCCCCCCAAAAGGTTTTATAAACTTCAAAAATCATTTGTCTTTCATTGTTGGAGATTATTTGCATAACTTTTATTTGCAAACCTTTCCTTTATTTTAAAAGTCACAAATATATTTCAAAGAAACTCGGAAGGCACATTTTCTACATAAATTAAAGAAAGTGAGCCTGTATTATAAAATTAAACAAAGATTCTTGGAGTAAGGTTTTTCACCAGGTAGAATAAACAGCAGAATAAAAATAATGGATGAAGAAGTAAAAGTACCCATGCATTAAACAGAGACAAAGAGAGAGAAGAAAACATGATAGGGTCTCAGGGAACTGTGAGAAAATATTATTGGGGCTAGTATACAGGCCACTGGAATTGCAGAAAGAAAGAGTTAGGAGAATAAGGTTTCTGCCTTTTGTTTTATGAATAACATTCATTGGTTGAAATTTTACCAGAAAAAAAATGACACTTTTACATATAGGAAAACAACTGCATTACTGATAGAAGACCTACCAGGAGTAAAATAGAAGTCAGAGGAAAATAAGCTGGAAGAAAAAATATCTAATAACTAAGTTCTATGTTGTTATGAGTTCCTATTCAGAGTACGCTCACTGCCATCATTTGACTCATGAGGGAGGCCTATCTGTTGTTAGGGGCCATCTAGTTGGTTCTTACCCTATGCTCAGCAGAAGGAAACATTGCCCGGCACCATCATCACAATGGTTTCTATGCTTGAACCCATTGTTGCAGCCACTGTTTCAGTTCATTTTGTTGATTCATTTTGCTGCCCCTCTCCTGGACCAAACCTGATGTCTCTCCTGACTACATGTCCAAACTGTGTCTGTACTTCCTCCAAAATAGATTTGCTTGTCCTTTTAGCAGTCCATGGTACTGTCAATATACAGATGTGTTTGACACAATGGATTTATATATGGATTGTGATAGGAGCTGTAATAGCCCCAATAAAATAACCAAAATAAAATTTTAAAAATTTAAAACATAGGATAAATATTTTTTAAATTTTGGTACATAAATGATTGCATTGTGACCTTTAAAAATGTGTATCAGTTTATAAAGTAAAGATTTCATGAAGTTATATATATTATGTTGTTGACATGGGAAGTACAATATTAAAAAATAAGAGGCAGTAAAGGGTCCTGTATTGTGCCAACATTTCTATATGTTGTATAAAATATTTTTATGCAATAATAATATTATATAAGTAAATTATGAAATGTTATCAATGTATATTATAATTCCTAGAGCAACAAGTAAATATATAATATATGAAAGCTTCAGAAAGTTCATGAGAAAATCCAATGGAAAGATGATGAAAATTTTTCACAAAATTTTTTAAGTCCCTTATACATAGAGTCAAAATATGAGCTTCAGTATATCCCATCTGAATTTAGAAACCACCAGAAGAACAGTTTTGATACACTGAAAACTAGTGACTGAAAACCAAACAACTTATGTGACAACATCAAGAACATCATAACTGAAGAAAGCAAAATGTCACTAAAAAGAAAGGAAATTTTTGAACAGTAGATGTTAGAAAAGACTCACTTATATGGAGTAGCTAAAATGAATGGAAGTAATAAAGAATCAAAAGAATTGAACAGAAGATATCAAAAGTCAACCCCAAAAGAAACATTATAATAAAATTTACAAACACCCAAAGTAAGAAAACTCAAAGTGGAGAACATGTTTGGCATTTTTCAAGCTGAAAGAATAAAAACAAACAAATAAATAAAAATCTATGCCTTGAAAGGTCATTTTGAAGGATTTCATGGACAAAATATTGAATGATGCCGCAAGGACCAAAAGAAGATGACAGGAATACACAGAATCACTGTGCGAAAAAAAAAAAAGTCAATATATAACCATTTCAAGAGATGGCATATCAAAAAGAGAAAGAGAGATGGCATATCATTATCTGATGATACTGAAGAAAAATGTCCAAACTTCACTGAAGGGATTAGTGAAAAATAATGCTACAGGAATTTATGGAATAACAAATGAAATACTTCAACAAACTGATGTCGTACTGAAAGTAATCGCTGTGCCAAAAATTTTAGAAGACAGCTACTTTGCCTTCCAATTGGAAGAGATTTATATTTATACCTATTCCAAAAAAAGGTTACCTAACAGAATTCAAAAATTATTGAACAGTACCATTAATATTACCTGCAAGTAAAATATTGCTAAAAATATTTGAAGCTGGATTCAGAAATGGACCTAAATGAGGGTTATCATTGCTAATATCAGATTAATCTTGGCCAAAAGCAGAGAATACTGAAATATATATGTACTTGTGTTTTATTAACTACATATAGGCATTCAACTCTATAGATCATAACAAACTAAATAAGATTGGGGAATAGGGATTCCAGAGCATTTAACTGTTTTCATGATGAACTTATATGTAGACCAAGAAGCAGTCTACCCTGAGTCAGAAATTTATACTTTATGAAAATAGATTCACTTTGAATGTCTGAAAACTCACACTATCCAAAATATTGCGAAATGATGCTTCCTTATAAATGCAGTTGTCTCCAGGTTGTGATTTTTGTGTTTTTGTATATATGGAATTTTTGCATATAGATATACCAAACTAAAACAAGTCATTCATGTATCTGTATTTGTATAGACACAAAATACTGTTGTTGATAGGTGCCATTGAGACAGTTTTGACTCATAGCAACCTGATGCACAGAAGAACTAAACACCGCCTGGTAGTGTTCCATTTTCAAAATTGTTGATATTCTTGAGCCCTGATATCAATCCCTATCCTCGAGAGTCTTCTTCTTTTCTGCTGATCCTCTACTTTACCAAACACGATTTCATTTTACAGGGAGTGGTCTTTCCTGATAACATGTTCAGAGAACATGAAAAAACTCTGGCCACCAATCACTTACAAGTCACATTATATGTATATACAGACGAACTTCATAGGTGGGGACAAGGTTCACATGGTGATATTCAAGTGTTTCACTGGGGCACTTATCTATTAAATATGTGATTCATTGTTTCCAAATTCGTAACTATCTTAATTATCTGGTACAGCTATAAGAGAAATTCTACAATTGAATAGCTTTACTTAACAAACAGATGTTATCATTCTGCAGGTAAGGAGAATAGAAGTACATTCAGAGTACCAATTATAGGGAAGGCTTTATTTCTCTACCACCTTTGAGGAAGGCCCATGTCTCTCAGCTTCTGTTTCCTGTTTTCTTGTAGAAACAAGCATGTGTCATGTCATCTACTTTATGCCCAAAACTCATTCCAACCCATAGCAACCCCATAGGACAAGGTAGACCTCCACCTGTGGGCTCCCAAGACTGTAACTCTTTATGGGAGTAGCTGATGGTTTCAAGTTGCTCATCATGTCGTTAGCAGTCCCATGGGTAAGCACTACACCACTAGGTCCCCCTAGGTTTTCTAAGAAAATAGAAATTGTCCCCATAATTCTAATCACTTCGTTATTAAACTTATATTTGATATCCATGAGTTTGCTGTGTCTCTTCAAGGGAACCTAGGCTTTTACATTAGGTAACAGAAACCTCTTAAGCCCCTACTCATTATTCAATTTAAAAACTGTTTCTATGTACATGTTAGAGTGTTACACACTCATTTGACATCAAAGAATACAATAGTTATCTAGTACTATTATAACAGAAATGCCACAAGTAAAAAGCTTTAACTAATAGAAACCCAGTGGTATATACGAAATCGGGCCAAAGCAGGACTTTAAGGGACAAGTAAGCTGCATGAAGAAGTGGCCCAAATGCCCACAGTCTCCACTCCTGTCACATTACCTCCTTTCTCCCAGTCTGCACCTATGGCCTCCTGGGGAGTTCCTTACCATACATTAACTGAAGTACAAAAAAGTCATGCTTGGTTTACGGATGGCTCTGCACGATATGTTGGTGCCACTTGTAAGTGGACAGCAGCAGCATTACAACCCCTTTCTGGGATTTCCCTAAAGGACAGTGGTGAAGGGAAATCTTCCCAGTGGGCAGAACTTCGAGTGGTGCACCTGGCCGTTCAGTTTGAGTATAAGGAAAAATGGCCAGATGTGAAAATGTATACTGATTCATGGGCTGTGGCTAATGGCTTGGCTGGATGGTCAGGCAATTGGAAGAACCATGATTGGAAAATTGGTGACAAGGAGGTGTGGGGAAAAGGTATGTGGATAGACCTCTCTGAATGGGCCAAGAAAGTAAAGATAATTGTATCTCACATGAACAAAGTGGACATGGTGGCAGGGCTGGAGGTTATGCATGGGCACAGCAACATGGACTTCCACTCACCAAGGCTGATTTGGCCACTGCCACTGCTGAGTGCCCCATTTGCCAGCAGCAGAAACCAACAT